AATAATGAAGGATTCTATCAGCAAGATATTTGAATTCTAGTTATGTTATTTTCTTACTAGCAATGCTTCCTTCCCCCCTCCCATTTTACATTCCAGTCATCAATAATACATTATCATTGTGTCTTGTTTTAATGTTTTCATTCATAATAGACTACCAACATTGATGTTGTTGCTGTTGTTATGTGCATAGAAAGTAATTAACAAGAACATAGCTAAGATCAGATGCAACTTAGTCTCTAAATGGATATTATTGCTCCCAAACATGGAGAAGTTTTTGAAAACAGATTTTCCCAATATGACACGTCTTTTGCTTTTTTGATTGCTATTACCAAGTGTGTTGATTGTGGATCTAGGTAATATGAGATTTAAATGGATAACTTCAATCTTTTCTGTATTTATCAAGGGGCCTATTGGACTAGTAATGAAGATTTTTATTTTCTCAATGTAGAGATGTAAACCACATTGAAAACTTCAGTCTGTAGAAATGCTCAATGTCTTCATTTCTTACTTTGTTGTTGTTGTGTGCCAATGAGTCATACTTGACTTTAGATGAGCCTCCAGCAGACTTTCAGAGGCAGTTAATTTTATCAGAAGAAATTGCCCACCTTTCTTCCACAGTGAAGCTGGTGGATTAAAACTGTGCACCTTTGCATTGGCAGTGCAACTCCTTACCATGTAGCCACCCAAGCTCATAGATATACTTGAATTATAGACTTACTGTCTCATCTACTTGTACCGCTCAGGCTCCTAATAATATTATGAACCTTAAGTGTATTTACATTCAGTTGATTCCAAATCATAACAATCTTATAGACAAACTAGAACTGTCCCAAGGGATTTTGAAACTGAAATCTTTATACAAACAGATTGAAACATCTTTTTTCCCTGTGTATAGCCTGAGACTTCAAGGCATTCACATTTTAATTAATATCTGATCATTAATTAAGAAGGAGATCTAAGACCCACAAGGTCTTTTGTGTTAGCCATGCAGCTCCCTACAGACCATGCCAACAAGATCTCTAATATCATTATGTTGGTTTTGTGTACAGTCAAGTCAAATCCAATCCATAGCTGACCCTCCAGTGGGTTTTCAGGGTCAATTATCCTCCCACAGATCAGCTGGTGAGTTTGAACCATGTGCTGTGCCATGGAATTGCAGCACATCTTCTTACCACTAGGCCACCAGATCAGAAATTTTGTCTTAGTTTTAAAAGGTGAGAAAGCAAACATGTCACTTAGAAAACTAAGGTGAGCCAGTTTTGACATTTTTCTTTATAAGTATGCAAAAGCTTGACAAAGAATAAGTTAGATTGATGGATTTGATGACTTTAATTACAATGTTGGCAAAATATATTGTATATACCATAGAGTACCAGTGACACAAACTAATCTGCATGGTGCACTCAGGATGTTCTTAGAAAGAAAGATGTGAGACTTCATCTCAGATAATCACCAAGAACATGCTTGGTAAAGTGGAAAGTCAGTGAAAAAGAAGAAGGTCTTCACCAAGATGGACTGCTGCAGGGGCTGCCAAAATGAGCACAGACAGGAGCAAGTATGACGATAACACAGGACTGAACCCCAGTGAATATATGTCTATTATAAGAGAAAAAGTGTTGCAGGGAATAAACTTTTTAGCTAATAATTAATGTATTGTCAGTGATGGGAAAATGCTAAGAATATTTTGGAATACATGTTTAATAGAATATTATAATAATTAAAACTTGTATTTACAAAAGTTTTTCATTAATGTAGAAAGTCATAACTATGTAAATTAAGTTAAAAATATGAATATAGGTGAGCTCTGGTGGCCTAGTGGCAAGAAGCTGCACTGCAATCCCAGAAGTGTGCAGTTCGAATCCACCAGATGCTCTGCTGAAGAAGGGGGGACAATTGCCTCCTGTACCAGTTAGATCTGATTTGACGATACATACCAAAAAAAAAATTAAAAATATGATATAAACTTTTATAGGTTGAAATATTTATTAGAAATAAAAAGGCGAAATAATGTCAACCAGATTTTTCTTGTTTTGTTGATATTCGTAATAGACTCAGTGAAACAGATAGTAACTTTCCCTAATTAAAATAAAACTAATGACAACTATCGCTAGACACTTATCCTTTTGATGTACTCCCAGGTGACACAATAAATCTACTACTGGAATCATTAGTCTGACACATACTTTGCCATACATAAAAGAAGTAAAGAAGTGGTAAGTGTCCAGAGGACAGAGACAGCCTTGATTTCTAGCTTTTGGGAGAATTGAAACACATTTACAATTTCCTCTCCTCCATCATAGAAGAAATTTCACTCCCTGAAATCCAGTAAAAAAAAAGAAGTCAAGAAAATTATTCATAAAAACAAAAAATTGTGAAAGCAGGAAAAAAATCAACATATTTTATATGCAAATTTATGGTAATTAAAATTAAATTTCTTAGAGGTTGAGTCCATCTGAATGTGTTCAGGCATTACAAACTGAGTCATTAAAAAAAAACCAAACAAAACAGAGTCATCAAAGAACAAATACTGCACAAGATCACCGTTATAAAAATAAGATGGTTACTGTGGAGTGGGTTAGTTTGAGAAGAGGTGTAGAGGAGGAAAAGAATGGATATGTAGTGAACACTGCAGTGGAATAGGTGAAGGTAGCGTCGATCAGAAAGGAATAAATGATCAAACATCATGTGTATTGCAATTAACAATCTGGTCAGGACATGAATTACAGATTGAATGGGGGTAGGGAGGAAAATTTGCATGAATAAATGAATGAAAAAACCAATTTCTTTTAAAATTTTCATTAAAATTATAATTTTAAAAAATTGGAGTTCATTTGCTAATATTAATGAGTTCAATATAACTTTGTCAACTGGATTTTTTGAAAATTTAGTCACCCACTTCCAAAAATAGCTTGCCTCTGGAAACTCTATGAACTTGGAGAAAAGACGAAAGTTTTGTGTTCAAGACTTTCATTCATAGGGTCTCTATGGGTCATCTACAACTCTATGGCACTTAAGGTATAAGATAGTTGGAAGAGAAAGCAATTATCACATTGCATTCATGCCATACTTTTGTAATCACTGTCAATAGAAGAACAAATTGTTATTAAAAATTTATTATTAAGTAGTTTTGAAATTATCCATAATTTTAAGGTTGATATATGTGTGTGTGTATACTATATATATTATTTATATTATATAAAACAAAACAACAATTTTTAAGAATACCTAAGTGGTAAATCTTACTTAAACAACAGAGTGTTAAGCAAGGAAGGTAAGACTTGACCCCACTTACTCTGGATATGTTTTCAGGAGGGTGAGTCCTTGGAAAACGTCATCATCCTGAGAAAGGTAGAGGGTCATAGGAAGACACAGTGACTGTAACAAAGGGCCCAACCAAGCATGTCAGAGATTATGAGGATGGGGTGAGATAGGACAGGGTTCAGATGGGTTCTTCACAGTGAGTCATAATCAACTCAACACCACTTCAATGACTATACCATCAATGTTAAGCATTTTAAGATTATGATTTCAAGGTGAAATGTCTTTGGATTAATTTACTAATAATCTTTCAAATTCTCTAAAAGATCAGAGGAAAATATGCAAAGTAGTGAGGGTCATAAATATTAATCTTCTTTATGAAATTCAGAAATACTTTTCCTACAGAGTGAAGGTGAATGTTATTCTATTGCTGTCTAACCTTCCAGCAGGTTTTCAGAGGCAATTAATCACATGGGGGAGAAGATTGTCCATCCTTCTCCCGCTGAGCAGCTGGTGGCCTCCAACCGCAGGCCTTCGGGATTGCAGTGCAGCTTCTTGCCACTAGAGCTTCCTTGTAAAAGTAAATTTAGGATAATTGAATTTCCACAAATTAATCTGAACATTCAATATAGTTGCTGTAGTGTACTGTTAACTGAAAAGACAGTGACTTGAATTCAACAGCTACTCGTCAGAAAAAAGACAGTCAGCTAAAATAAAGATGGCATAGAGCCTTAGAAACACAACAGGGCAGTTCTAGTATTTCCTCTATTATTGTTACAAGTCTGAACTGGCTAACTGGCACCATGTTTGATGTTTTGGTTTGGGTACGTAAGCAAATGCAAGATTCCTCCAAGGAAACAATGTAGTCGTACACACTTAGGAGTAGGAACATCCAAGACTGGGAAGGCAGAGGCCACAGGTAATGTTCTATTTTCCAGTAATACTCAGAACTTATGCTTTTTTAGGGGGAAAACACTCTACATATTCCTTTCATTACAAGGCCCACTTATAAGCCTTACAGCAAAATTCTGCAAAGAATTTAAGCATCTCAGCAGAAGACCTTTATAGTCACTTGATTAGTTTCATGAAATCCACCTAACCGGCAATTAATTGCCCTGCTATTTCTGTGTAGTTTAAAAAAAAAATTGTATCCTTCCTAATGCTGTTGATCTACTCAAAACTAAAAAAATGAGTCTAATGAGAACAGTTATGCTAGAAGTAGATTTTTCCACAAGTCATAATTTCAATTATGATACTACCACAATTTGAGAAGGCTTCATTTCTAGTCACGTTCCAACCTGTAATTATAACAAGAACACATTGCCCTGCACTCTTATGAACTCATTATGTCTTTTGTCCCTCAAAGATACGTGTGTTTTTTTAATTTAGAAAAATTTTTATTTGTAGTGCCATTCGTTCTCTACAAATAATGATTGATCATTTACAACAAAGCAGCTTTCCCTCTGACTATCTCTCTCTCTTACACCTGCAAAAAAGAAAACAAATTTATGAAAGACCTATTAACCATATTTATAACAAAACTTTACAGTTTGGCACAAATATTTATTCTTTTGCCACTGAGTGGGATTAAACTGAATGATCGATAATATACCTTATTCTTTCTTAGGTTTTTCTAATATACTTTGCCATGTTATGATAAAAGGAGCAGGCAGGGTGTTCTCCTTATGTTTTCCTACAAGGGTTTCCATCTAAATTTCCCATTATTGTTTTTCTTTATTCTGTCACTTAAAACTTAAGTACTTTCCTACTGTTCTTTTCACAGCTGCCTTTACCTCCTTGTTATTCAGGCTGTAGATGAGGGGATTCAGCATGGGAGTGATCACAGTATACTGCACAGAAATGATCAACTCCAGGGGCGAGCCGGTAGTTGGCATGAGATAGCGGAGAAAGGCCGACCCATAGAAAAAGATCACAGCAGTGAGGTGGGAGGAGCAGGTGGAGAAAGCCTTGCTTCTGCCAGAGGTGGAGGTGATGTTAAAGATGGTAAAGATGATAAAGACATAGGAAAATAAGACCGAAAAGGAAGTTGCAAGCCCATGAGGGATGAGAGAGCAGAACATAACAATTAAGTTGGTGGTGACATCAGAGCAAGACAAAAGGAAGACAGAGGGCAACTCACAGCTGAAGTGTGGGATAATATATATGTCACAGAAGTCTATTTTCATTGCTAGAAAGACATTGATAAATGCATCCAGAAAACCAAGAGTCCATGAGCCCCAAAGAAACTTCATACACTGCTGTTTAGTCATCACTTGGCCATAGAGCAGAGGGTGGCAGATGGCAGCATAACGATCATAGGCCATCACTGAAAGCAGACAGACTTCAGTACCTCCAGTGAAAAGTGTAAAGAATATCTGCGCCAGGCAGCCCCTTACTGAGATGGTTTTTTTCTGAGATTGGAGGTTCTCCAGCATCTTAGGCACAGTGACTGAAGAGAAACAGAGATCAACAAAAGAGAGGTGACTTAAGAAGAAATACATGGGTGTGTGGAGGTGGGAATCCATCCTGATCACCAGTATCATCATCAGGTTTCCCACCACAGTCAGGAGGTAAATCCCCAGGAAAAGCACAAAGAGCAGAGTCTGGATCATGGGGTCAGAAGATAGTCCAAGGAGGATGAACTCGGTGATGGTGCTGTGGTTCCTCAAGGCCATTTACAAAAGTTTAATCCTAAAAATGAGACAGAAAATTATGCCAGTCTTATCTATACTATCCTGAAAACCATTTCTACATTACATTTAATCTCATAATCATCTAGTATGGTCCAGTTTTTGTGGCAATCTTTGGAACATAAAGAAATGAATAAGATATACTAAAGGCATTTTAAAATTATATTTCAGGAGCAACACAAAAGTAAAATCAAGCAATTAAATAAAAGTATAATTAATCAGAATGAGAGTCGAGAGCACTAGGTGTGATTTATGCAAAGTAATAATGTGAGCACACCAAAGGTAATAGACAAAAAAAAAGTTTAAAAGTGAGTGACGAAGTTGCATTTAGAAAATTCAAGCTGATTACTGAGGATGTTCAAGGCAAAAAACTGCCCCAACTTCCATGGCATGGACCTTACCCGGGACAAAATGTTAAAAAATGGCATGAAGCACATGAATGAAGCACATGTTGATGTCAAAACTATCGATGGTTATTTGTCTATTTTGTGTTGGTTTTACAAAAACACACAACAATCAGATTCGGAAGACATCTTATGCTCAGTACCAACAGGTCCGCCAAACAAGAAGAAAATGACGGAAATCATGACCCGAGAGGTGCAGACAAATGACTTGAAAGAGGTGATCAATAAATTGATTCCAGACAGCATTGGGAAAGACATAGAAAAGGCTTGCCAGTCTATTTATCATCTCCATGATGTGTTTGTTAGGAAATTAAAAATGCTGAAGAAGCCCAAGTTTGAATTGGGCAAACTCATGGAGCTTCATGGAGGAGGTGGAAGCTCTGGAAAAGCTACTGGAGATGAGGCAGGTGCTGAAGTTGAATGAGCTGATGGCTATGAGCCACCAGTTCAAGAATCTGTTTAAAATTCAGACTTTTAATAATGACAAATAAAAATCATTATTTGTGCAAAAAAGTGAGTCTTTACAGAAGCAAAGAATAAAAGCACACATTTAGATTGAGAAAAAAGTCTAGACAATGGATCAAAGAGCAGAAATAAGAAGATGTGTTTGATAAACCATGGATGTTTAGAAGTATCTAGAGTCCAAATTGTGGATAGATATTATAGTACAATGAGGAAGAATGAAGGCTGGTAGTTCTCATTTTTGTTGTGAAAGTTTCAATAATATTTTATCCAGTTAGGGTTTATAAGAACAAAATATGATAACCCATGTAAAAAGTATACTTAAGAAACACAAATAATACTGTTCAGTATGAGCCATAATTATTAGTATTTGAGAGCATAAGTATAGCACAAAAATAATAATAAATACTCATGCAGGATAATTCCCTATCCAAGTTAAAGCTATTCTTGCCACTAATGCTGTTGCTTTCAGGGAAGTCCATAATAAAACCATTTTGAAAAAGAAAAAAAGTGATTGTTCTCATCCCATCTTTGTCAGCTGAAAGGCAGTTTGGTATTTTACAAAAGAACATTCCTTTTCAAATGAGTACATGTATGATATGCTGCCAAATAAAAGGTAGGTGGCCTAACTACACCAGCAGACCTAAGGAGAAAAGTTGAGTCGAACTGTTGTCATTAAAGTTTACATTCTCTGAAAATTAACGGAAGGTTTTCATGAGTCAGAATGGATTCACTGACAGCCTGCTTTTGGACATACCTCAGTTACTGGTGGTAATGTCCCTCAGAAGGAAAAGACAGTTTCAGGAGAAGACAAGGGAAAGAGAAGGTGAATCCCCTAATGCTAGTCCTCAAATCACTTTCTAAGACGGATTTGAACTTTGTAAAGGGTCAGTCCTATAAGCAAATAAGAAGCAGGTATTTGAGGTAGTACATTGCTAGTGTCCACAACATGGGGCACTTACCTAAATAGAGTAGGAAAGAGGGAAACAAGGAACTTCAAGAGCCTGATTTTCTAGAAGTCTGCTTGCTTGCCAGGGCATTGACCTTAGTAACGAAACTGCTGTTTCCTTCCCCATATGAAGATTCTTGAGAAATTATTTTTTAGAAGCTGTCTTAAAATAGAAGGCCAGATAATTTAGTCCTGTGTATTTAAGTTGCCCAAATATTTGCATTCACCCTTACACCTTCATCCCAAGAGTTTTTTTCACAATATTCAAGTATTAGACTCTCCCCATCCTTTGAGTTTAGTTTTGCCTGATCTTTTATATCTGAATTACATAATAGATTCTGCCTGTTTAAATATAGACCTGTTAACCAGCAGTCCCACTGTGATTTATTTGCTAGAATCAAATCTTTAGTTTACTTGTAGGATATTTTTTATGGTAGCCAATTCTATTTCCTGGCCTTGACTGCTTCCTTTTGCAGCCTGTTTAAATAATCACAAAACCTATCCAAGAAGAACTTTTGAGTCCCTATTTTTCAATTGTTCAGCCATCAACATAATCCTATTGCCTTCTCATAACCTAAATATATGTTCCCAAATTAAAGAAAAATTATTACCTGCTCGCCATTATGGTGCTAGCTCTTGTAATTGATTCAATTACTAAGAGTAAAAATTATAATTTGTTTTCTGTACCTGGCTTTATGTTTAAAAATTCTGTTAGTGGCAGCATCAGTATGGATGGTGAAAAGGTTGAGATAGTTAACAGTTTTAGTTTACTTGGCTCCACAGTCAACAATCTTGGTAACAGCAGCCAGGAAATCAAGAGACAAATTGCATTGGGAAAGTCAGCTGTGAGGGACCTCTCAAGAGTACTGAAGAGCAACAAAGTCAGGCTGGAGACTGAGGTGGGCCTGATCTAGGCTATAGTCTTCACAATTATGTGCTCTGCATCAGAGAGTTGGACAGTGAATAGGGATGATAGAAAGAGAATTGATGCCTTTGAGCTGTAGTGCTGGAGAAGGGTGTTGAATATACAATGGACTGCCAGGAGAACAAACAGGTTTGTCCTGGAGAAGGTGAAGCTGGAATGCTCCTTGGAATCAAGGATTCCGAAGCTTCATCTGACATACTTTGGGCATGTTGTAAAGAAGGACTGGTCCTTGGAAAGGGACATCATGTTTGGACGAGTGGAGGGATGGCGCAGGAGAGGAAGACCCTGGATGAGATGGATCGATTCGGTAACTGGAGTGGTGGGAATTGAGATGGCGAGGTTGGTACAGGATAGAATGGCTCTTGTTTAGTTTAGGGCTCTTGTACATAGGGTCGCTATGAGTCGCAAGCGACTTGATGGCACATAACAATAGCAACAACAACAACAATGAAATTTCTTCTTGGATTCTTCATTATTTAAGGCAAATAGTCATGTTAGTGCTTTCTTTTAAATGGTATCAATTACCATGACATAAGCATAATTTTTAAAAATTTTGTTTTGCTTTTTAAGCCCTTTTAAGTATGTGTGCGTGTATATATATATATATATATATATATATATACACACACATAATACTACATCTAACTTATCCTCAAAGCGAGTGTGTTTAGGAATCCTGAGCATTGTTAGCCCAGAGGAAGCCTGAGGCAATGCCACTTATTCCATTTAGGCACAAATTGAAGTCTGGCACTATGGTAAAAAAGTAACAATTTTATCCATATTAATAGAGTTTTCATAAATGTGACTTTAGATCTTCTGCTTGAAACAATTGCTTGGACAATATGGACTCTTTTTAAAAATAAGTTCACAGGAGGTAAAGATACATCTAACTATTCTCCTTTTTTAGTTGGTCCTCTTAAGTGTTTCTGTTTTCTACCTGTGATTTTTAGGCTATTTCACTCAGACAATATTGCTGTGATTTTATGTGTTTGTAAGTAAATAATTGTTGTTGTTAAATGCCATCGAGTCACAGGCCCTATAGAGACCCTATGAAGGAGAGTCCTCAACACTTGGGTACCTTTCATCCTCTCTCCAGGTTCATAGGGTTTCCGGAGGCAAGCTATTATGGAAGTGGATGCCACTCCTCCTTCCAAGCTTGTTTTAATAGGGGAGCTCCACCCCACTCTCAGTCCGCATTGGGTAACCAGCCATTAACGCATTTGATACATCAGTGTCACAGTGTTCAGCCTCACAGCAACCACAGAGCTGTACTGCAACTCTAGGTCGTATAGTATTTAGTAAATAATTACAAATATAAATAAAGATGCCTTTGAGTTGTGTTTGAATATATCATGGACTACTAAGAAAACAAACAGGCTCTACCTAGAAAGGGTAAAACTACGCTGCTCTTTGGAGGACAGGATTTTGAAGCTTCGTTTGACATACTTCGGGCATGTTGCAAGGAGGGACCAGTCCTTGGAGAGGGACATCATGCTTGGGAGGGTGGAGGGACAGTGCACGAGAGGAAGACTCTGGAAAAAACGGACTCAGTGACTGTGGAAATGGGGGTAAGATGTTTTAGAGACAAAGATGGCTCAGTATAGAGCAGGGTTCAGAACTGTTGTGGATAGGATAGGACCTCAATGAGTCTCAAGTGACTTGATGGCACATAACAACACCAACAACATAAATAAAGATAACCGTTTTCTGAAGCCACGCTATCAACTCTTTCTGGTATCATGAATCCACATATCATGTGAGTTATAATAACTTGATAACATGCACACTTACTAAAATATTTAGAGAGACAATCAGTAAATGTTTAATGCCTTAAGACTCAGTGTTGTGGTTGTTAGGTGGCTTTGAGTTTGTTCCTATTCACAATGAACTTATGTACAGTAGGACAAAACACAGCCCACTCCTGTGCTACCTTCACAGTTATTGATGTGTTCAACCTGTCACTGCAGCCACTATATAAGCCCATCCCAAAGAAGATCATCTTCTTTTACATTGATACTCTACCAAGAATGCTTCTTTCAAAGGACATTCTTTCTAGGTGTATTTCCACCAGGCTATATTCAATTGTCTCTCTTTCACCCATGATATATAAAATAATTTTTACCAACACTATAATTCAAAGTCATCAAGACTTTGTACAATTATGAGACAATTGAAAATACCAGGACCTGGGTCAGACACACCTTATTCTTTTAAGTGACATTTTTCTAACATTTTAAAAATCAGC